CTTGCCTCTACTAATATTTCATAAAAAAAAAATTGAGATTGATTGAAAAATGCACATTCTACAGGGGTGGTTCCATTTTAAACGGGTCACACTGTATAAGCGTGCGATCGATGCTAATCATAGACGGGTGTTACACGCTCAGTTTGGCATCTAGTCCATGACCTTGATCAGGAACGAACTGATGACAAACTGATCCATGAACGATATTACTCTTATCATTCATCATTATGACGGGTGAGTAATGTCGTTCATGGGTCCATCAGTTTGTCATCAGTTCATTCGTGATCAAGGTCATGGACTGAACTGATGCCAAACTGAGCGTGTAACACACGTCTTAAGCTTGTCGCCCACTTGTCCGGCACAGCACAACACGGCCCATCCCGTCAAAATACGGATATGATTGGAATAATGAAAACGAATGAACAACCGCCCACTAGCCCGGCACGGCACAGCTAAGAGCGTCCGCCGCCGGAAAGGATTCCAGCTCTCCGATCCTGTCCGGCAAATAACGGTACGTGCTGTGACGGACTGGCCAAGTGAGCGCGTTGCCGGCCAGAGCTTGCCACCATCAACTTGTCCGAGAGTATCTCTCTGTTTTGCTATTCCATCAGTTGATGACAGCACAGTGTCAGTTGGTACCTATGAAAATGGACGAGGAAAAATTGAGTTGCTTGTTAAGGCAGGCTCTAGAACAGCGGTACTCAACCTTTTTTACCCTTGGGCCACATAGTCGCTACTGCTAGACCTTGCGGGCCGCAATATTAAAACGGAACTGAACAAACTACTTTCAGGTTTTGCGTTATTGGAGTAGACGTTGTATGTAAAATACAATAATACGCAACTGTAAAAATAAACCATTTATTTAAAAATTAATGTGATGATTAATCCATCTCGTAGGGTTCAGCCAGCGTTTGCAATGTAAGCGAAAAAAAATGTGTATATTTACATTAGAAACCTCTTATATTATCAATGTTTCTCTATATACAATCACAGACAAAAATATTGATTTCATGTTTATTTTCATTTGTCTGAATCTTTATGCAGTTTTCATTACTAATTGGTATATACTGAAGTATTCAACGTATATTAATTGCCAAATAATCCAGATATTGAAACTTTATAACCCACTTATAGGAGAAGTAATGGAATAGACTAGTTTTGATAATAATATTTAATCAGAACAAGCAACAATGACGACAAAATGAAAGTTCTTTGATGCAATATAATAACAGTTCACTACTTAGTATTTCCTTCCCTAGCTCTAACCATAGCCTACATCCTCCTGGGCATACTACGCAAAAGGTGTTTGATGGTTTCTTGTGAAATTCGATTACATTCTTCTTGTACAGCAATTCTTGATTCTGCAATTGAGTTAGGAGCTGGATTTCGTGCTCGTATATGTCTTTTTAGGATGCCCCAAATATGTTCTATGGGATTTGTGTCGGGACTGATTGGTGGCCACTCCACTGCCTCAATCCAACAACTCAAGTTATTGAGTGACTGTTCTTGCAGCATGTGCACGAGCATTATCGTGCATTAGCACGAAATTGTCGTAACCAATGAAGCTGCCGTAAGGTAAAACATGCTCTTCAAGGATGCTGCATATGTACCAGTTAGCATATATACTTTCCTCTTGAATCACTCTACCTATTGAAAAACCCGCATCAAAATCCATTGCGTAGTTTTAAAGATCTGATCATGCCTACCAAGTAGATTCATATACCGGGACCTGGACCTGAACATCTACTACGTAGACGCGTATATGAGAGAACACGCCGAAAACGTGTTCGAAAGAGATCGATCACATACAAATCCATCGCTGCGTGATCTACATAAAGCGCTCAACAGGGAAGACCCTAGATTCCGAGAAAGAGACACAAGAGGTCAACAAAGCAGAACACAGACCACTCAGGAGAGTCGCTGTCAGGCGGCTTCGGTAAGTATAAAAACCGTATAAATAGACCTAACACTCACTTCTTTTTCAGATACACAAACAAACACTACTTCACGTCCAACAGACACTTGTCTCCGGTTAGTTTACGGGGACCCTATGCAAAAATTACATTCCGAAAAGTCACGATAAATAAAAATAACAGATGAAGAAAGTACAAGCACCTAAAGGTTGACTTTCGACAGCAGTAGGTCAGATGTCAATCTTGCTGAAGTGCCCATCAGCAGGTTGAGGTCCACAGAGAGATGAGTGGGGGTGGATGGACGAGATTCTTGCTTCTGCACACAGTAACCGTGTGGGGAAGATTTTATCTCGGGGAACTCAACCCAGGGGGCATGGGGGGCCGTTCTAGATGTGACGAGAATAATGTTACCGGCTTTGATGGAATTCCGAGGAATTCTATCAAATTGCCGAATATAAGCACGAGCCACTTGCCTATCCAGACAGTCAAATGGAAGTGACAGTGCGGTACGCGGAGCGATCTAATAAGGCGATAAACATTTGAATGATAGTTGAAGTTTAAGTTAAAGTGTTTTGTTGTATTGAAAGTGAAATAAAGTTAAGATTGATTATTAGACAGTAGTCAATTATTGATAAACCCACGGGGAAAACGTAACAATATTTTGTAAAGCCTATTACAAACGTTGACCTCTCAGTTTGTTTTTTACGTGCGGGAATAAAAAGAAGTCATTCGGTGCCAAGTCAGGACTATACGGCGGATGACTCATCTAATCGATGTTTTGGGTGCTCAAAAATGCAGTTGTTTGAGCCGATGTGTAAGAGCTCGCATTGTCGTGGTGAAAAATTGAATTAAGTTCATCCATGCACTGCTGAGTTAATCCACGTCGAAAGTTGTTAAAAATAATCGCACGAAAATGTTTTCTATTTATTTTCGATATATTTCCATTTTTGGGCGGCGCTGATTTTTTAAGTTACTGTAAACAACACAATTAACGCACGTATGTCGAAACGTTCTGAGTACGTATAAGCTCAAAAATGTCCAACTTTACGATAGAGCTGTCAGTTGCCAGATTGCAACACTAGGGTTGCCAAATCCCGAAACATAAAAGGCAACCTATGTTACCCCTATAAAACTGTTAAGAAACACTTCTAGGAGTGGTGGTATTGCGGCAGAGTCGGACTACTTTTAAAGCTATAGATTTCTACAAAAATGCTTGTATAAAGATAGGATTTCTATAGTTTGGATAAATATTATCTATCGGGATGTTATGGGTAAAAAGCTTCTTCCATCGATTATAACGGTTGAATTTTGAAGGAGTTTTGAGCTAATGATTTGAGGGTACTTAAATCGACGGATTTTAATCATTAATAACCTTTTTCTGTTTTTAGCAAGAGCAAAATTGAAGCATTAGGTTACGTGAGTCTTCGTCTAAAACGAACCACTTTTCTTAATTTTTTTCCAGTGACCAATATTACACGACATTATCAGATATATAGTTATCGGGACACTAGTCAAATAAAACTGACAAATTTTACTCAATTACACGACCTCTAAAATCAATGTCAGCTGATTCTTCTTAAATGCTGCATTTTATTCTTGGAGACAGCAATTTGATTTTATAACAGTTATTTTATTATTTTGGATTTCTAGTAAATATACCGTACTATAAATTCCAATAAAATAATTTCGTTGAAGCCACAGGAAGCAGTTATAAAACAAGCTTAAAATATTTTCATAAAGATCATACAAACCCCACAGAAAAATGCTACAAAACAATTGACTTTTATATGAAATGTTTTATAAGATAGTAGTAAAAACGTTTCTCTGATAATTTCGTGACTATTTCATAACGTTTTTTTTATTTCATTTTATAAACGTTTCTATGATAAATTTATAAAACACCTTCGCTGCCTACAACTGTATTGTGTTCACGGCTCGTCTAATATAATCCATTAGCATCTTGGACGTAATTATACAATTCCAAAAAATAAAACTGTTGAAGAACCATGAAATTATAAAACAATTTTGCTGGTTGGGCTGGAGCACTGTTCCACATTTTTCAACAAGCCTGTACATAATCACAGCCGGAGCTTTATCGTTAAATTACCTTGTTTCGCTTAGATATGATAAATTTTAAAATAAACATGAACTGACAAAAGAGTTGAAGTTATCGTGTGGAATGTAATGAAACGGAAAGAACCGAAGCGGTTATTGTTATCCTACTAACATATACATAATGTGTGAATGTTTGGGTTTTGATTTGATATTACCAGAAATTTCCATGAAAACTGATAAAACAAAATATTTTTGTAGGCGGAAACACGAATAAATATTATTTATCTTCCTATGTACCATTAACATTGGATCAGTAATAAAATACTGTATAATTATGAACAACGTAGTGACAGTGAAGACCAATCAGAACGTCTCAGCAAAAGTACAGACCACTGATACCAAATAAAATGAAACGAATACAAATAATTGTTATTTAACATATGACGCGTCACTTTATTTCTATCCGCAAAACTTAAAAAATTATGTTTATTACAATAAAAAAATAAAACATATATTAGACTAGCTGCCCACTCCAAGACGTTTATTCACCCTTCGAAGCTTGATACCAAACAGTTGTTGGACTACAGTAAGGACGAACTACGATGTCTAACAGGCCTTCTCACAGGACACTGCCATTTGAATCGCCATACACAGACACTCGGACTGTCGAAAGACGGTGTGTGTCGCCTTTGTTTGGAAAATGATGAAACAGCAGAGCACACGCTCTGTGCCTACCCCGCTGGGGACCAAATCAGGTTTTTAAAGTTCGGCAGAGCCGTACACTCACCATCTGACCAGAAAGACCACTCACGTTACAAACGAATCGGCTTCGTTAAGAAGCTGGGTTCATTTGGTCGAGTGTGAATAGGTGTAAGCCACAGTAAACCCTTGCGGGTTGCGGTGGAGGTCGAACAGACCCACTCACTTGGGACCTAACCTAACCTAGACTAGCTGCTGTTTCATTCACGTGGAGGCAAGTGGGACTCTTGTTGGAGATTCTTCTGTTGGTCTGGTTGTTGTGAGTTTGAAGCTGGTGGAACATTTTTCTACGAACACCTGACGCACACGATACCCAATGATGCAAAGACATACGAAATACCATGCCGTACTCTTACTATCTGACCTGAAAGACCACTCACCATACAAAGTAATCGGCTCACTTTAGACCTCACATATATGTATTGATGATTGTACTTGCACTATTTTCTGATTCCTGCGGACTATCCAAGGCCACTTTTTCTTATTATTTTCTATATGTGGAACGTGAATAATTTTTTCAAGTATATGATGGAATTAGCCAATACGTGATGAGAAGTACTGTAACGTAATAAAGTAACACTTTTCTGTGAAGCCACACGCGTTTCACTATACAATAAAAAGCTATTGTATTGTTCATATTCAGTATAAACACCTTCGAGTAAGCTGTTAGGGCGAGTTCATATTCAGTATGAACACTCCGGAGGAAGCTGTTGTAAGCTTCTTTTGATCAATCTGAACAAGACGCCTGAAGAAGCTATTGTATTGTTAATATTTAGTAGGAACACTCCTGGGGGAGCTATTGTATAATGGAAGTATATAATGCTTTCCGCAGGTGTGTTCCTAGTGAGTATGAACAACAAGCCTGAGGAATTTATTGTATTGTTGTACTTAGTATGAACACGCCTGAGGAAGCTATTGTATTGTTCATACTCAGTATGAACACGCCTTAGGAGGCCATTGTATTGTTCATACTCAGTATAATCACGCCTGAGGAAGCTACTGTATTGTTAATACTCAGTGTGAAAACTCCTGAGGGAGCTATTGTATAATGGAAGTAGGCAAATGCCTACTTCAGGTGTGTTTCTAATTAGTATGAACAACACGCCTGAGGAAGCTATTGTATTGTTCGTACTCAGTATGAACACACCTGAGAAAGCTACTGTATTGTTAATACTCGGTGTGAAAACTCCTGAAGGGCTATTGTATAATATATCTGTTTAAAATCAGGTTTTCCGTTAACCAGCTGGAAGTATATAATGCCTACTTCAGGTTTGTTCCTAATTAGTATGAACAATAAGCCTGAGGCAGCTATTGTATTGTTCGTACTTAGTACGAACACGCCTGCGGAAGCTATTGTATTGTATGAACACGCCTGAGGAAGCTATTGTATTGTTCATAATCAGTATGAATACACTTGAAGAAGCTACTGTATTGTTAACTCAGTGTGAAAACTTCTAAGGGAGCTATTGTATAATGGAAGTATATAAGCCCTACTTCAAATGTGTTCCTAAATAGTATAAACAACAAGCCTGAGGAAGCTATTATATTGTTCGTACTTAGTAACGGACACGCCTGAGGAAGCCATTGTATTGTTAATACTCAGTAGGAACACGCCTGAGGAAGCTATTGTGTAACAAAACACGTGTTGCGCTTTTGCAAACTATTCAGTGCAAATATCACAATAAAATGTTAGTTGAATGTTTTAAGGTGTTTCAATTGTAGTACTTGAACACTGAGGTAGAGCACATCACTCATAAAACTTAAAACCCATCTTTCATTCAATGAATACGAAAAAACTATATAGTCATATCAGCTTTCTAGTACTTAGGAATATGTGAGGTCACAGCGATCACCTGCCAAGAATTCGCGTTTTAGACTGATTTGAAATGGAATCAATATATTATTCATTTATGGAGTATAAAAGAAATAATTTTAAATATTTTGGACTATATTGGGTACAAATGAATGAATGTTATAGGTGTAAATGTTTTGCAATACTTGGAGGGTAAGTCGGGTTGCAACAGGAAAAACAAATGTCCATTTTCAGATGAAAAATTGAAAACAAGCTTGAAACTGTCCCAACAAATGACGGCTCATTTCATTTATTATTGTTGTTCAGACAAATTGAAGAATTTATACGTCAAATAGCCTGCCACTTTCTAATAATTTTTGTGTAATTTGGGCTAAAAACAATATGGAACACTTTGGTTTGAATTGGTTGTGTTTTCCCATACAAGAGGTTTTTATTGTTATTGATTCCACAGAATATTTTTAGACTTCCTAACCCTAAATCCACCCAGCAGATACTTCTGTAGACTTTTGTTTGTAAAATGGGCGTGATTTTTTCATATTCAGGATAGTATTTAGTTGGTACTAGTATTTAGTAGGTACTTTCCCACAAGTATGAAATAAAAAAGTTCACAATTTCAGGAAAAGTTTCAATAAGTTTCAATAAGCGACAAGTGTCGCGGTTTTTAAAACCTTTCATAGTGAAAATCATACAATAAACTGTATTAATATGGATTTTCATCAAGTATCTGCCAGTTCAATTCAATCAATGGTTCAATATGAATATTTTATTAATGTGTGAAACAAAAACAGAGTTAAATTTGTCACCGAAAAAATTAATCTTACTTAAGAGTCGTGAATGAAATAATGAGAACGGGAGTGAAAAATGTCTGTCGTTGAATTTTATGTCAAAAGCAAGTAGATATCCAGTTAACATATTCAGGCAGATATTTGCCAACTTTTATTCGCCACTAAAGCCCTTCTTCATAAATGTTTTTGAATTTTCAATTTAAATTTTAAGATCCAATTGGACAACGATATTCAGGGAACTACCTGTAGGTTAATAACAAATGAGTAATTCAATGATAACATATCGTACTTAATTGCCTATGAACTAATTAGGAATAATTCTATTTATTTCAACACAGAACCTTGATACTTGAAACAATAGTCTGGAATTTGATATTTAAAATTCAAGATCACTTCAAAGTACAAGAGTACGTACTTATCAGGTTTTTGCTTTCGTTTTTGTTTCGACGTTTCTCGAATTGTTTCTGCACTGATAAATATTTATTCACACCTAATTGGTATAGGTATATTAAATTGGGAGTTGACATTCTTTTGAAATGATGGTAGATATACACTGATGAAGAAAGCAGATATTAAATGACTATCAGATAAAAAATGGTCAAAAATTAAGTAGATACTTTTAATACCACTTAAATGTTTAAACCTTTCAGTTAACTTACCTAACAGCACCAAAATTATCACAGCCTGTTTCATCATTTTCGTTTTCAATCACTTGTGCAGAATAAACAAAACAGGTTGCAGGTGAGAAGTGAAATATGAAAAAACTAGAAAGTTTATAGGTTAGGAAGGTGAAACAAGACAGCAAAGGAATAATTAGATACTCAGTATATACTGGAATGGATAATGGAATGAAATGTCACTAGTATTTACGTTCTACGATTACTTCAACAAGTCTACAAACGAGAATATTTCATTGAACTGGCTATACTATCATCTGAACGCGGCAAGAGACAATCAAAGGACTTTGAGATTCATTTATCATACGCAGAGGTGTAGGTATCTATGCCCCTGCCCCGATACGATAAAGAAGGAAATAGGCAGGGTCGTAATGAGGATTTTTTATTCGATTGTTTTAGGAAGATCAGTAACTTTCCATTAAACATTTTATGAACATAAGCAAAGTTCATATGTATGAAGAGATTGATATGGACACTACTAGTTTTCCCAAATATGTAATAATGTTGTTAAAACAAACTGACTCAATGTTTGCTAGTATCATAAACACTGGTTATTTGGAACTCAAAAACATTACCAGAAAGCTACTTGTGAAAGTATTATTTGGTTTTTCACCACCGCGTCCCAATACTACTTATGATAATAATAATAATAGGCGTCTGACACTCTAATACCTTATGATGCATTTTTTCATATCTCAAAACAGAAAATATAAAATTCTCAATAACTTCTATTCCTGAAATATAATATTTCAAATAATTACTCGGGTACATATGATTATAATTATTATATGAGGATTTGCTGGCAAGGCAATTTTCCGAATCTCTTTAACATTCGAAAAAGCGAGAAAGTATCATTATCCAATGACTACTCCTAAAGATGAGAGATTTTTGCGTTCAGAAACCATGTATTCCGAGCATATACAATATTTATTATTATCATATGTATTAGTATATATAAATATTTCAAAAGATATTGTTAGACATCACCAAATTATCTTAATTTCATTTGGATATTTTTGACACAAAGGAGATGATCAAATCAATAGATTGCTAAACAAATTAGGAATCCTTCTGCCAAAATTCAAATATTTGAAAAAAAATTCTTGAGTAACTGAAGGTTATTATTGGTTTATTTAGAAGTTTGTTCATTATTTTCGATGTATATATTATAAAATGTCATGAATAAACTTATATTATCATTATATTTAATTGAATAAGACTGTATTTTTGACTGTTCCCAAATTTTCAATTAAATGTAATAAAGGCGTTGCCGAAAAGTCCATCCTGTTCATCAATGATATTGGAATACTATACTTTGAATCCAGTGTAATATACTTACATTCAGTGTCACTATTTTCCGGGCTTAAAAGCCGTGGATTTTTGGAAATTCTTCCTGATGTTTCGCTACCGCAAATGGCTAGCCTTCTCAGAGGTTTATACATCCTGAGTTAATGTCTCCAGAGAAAGCTAGCCACTCTCGCCAGCGAAACGTCAGGAACAATTTCCAAAAATCCACGGCTTTTGAACCCGAAAAATAGTGACACTGAAAACTTCGGCCGCGAAAGCCTCAACCATTTCATACTTACATTCTTCACAACACTTACACGTCTGAAACTATCGGCGCTACATTCTGTATATCTAGTGACGTCATACCCCCTTTCACCGAACCAGCTTCTTTAAGGCTATTTTATGAAGCATTATATTTTCTCAGAGAAGTTTTTTATCATTAGTCTTCAAATTATGTGCAGATTTCTTTTTTGTGGTAATAAAAAAAGGTTAAAATGACCTTATTTGTATATTGAAATTTGGTTCATTTGATTTATATACATTTTTAAACACGTTGAATGATGAATTTAAATCAATTTGGTTTTTTTGGCTGTATTGCAAGGCTGAAATACTTTAATAAGTTTAGAATATTAGCACATATTCAACGTGTCTGTTCTCTCCTCTTCAATTTTATGAAATTTTCTCACCATCTGGTTTTGCCCCTCCTCGAATTTTTGTATGTATTCCCCCTCAAGTACTCAGTTTAAATCTAGAATATTTTGTAAAAAAAATCGTTAGGGAAATAAAAATAAAAGACTGAACTCTATGAAAGATCACATTTTCATTACCAAATGTATCCTTAATCCTAACAAAATTTGTACATGGACTTAATACAATACTATTACAATAGTTTTTAAAAAAAGTATTAAAATAATATACACAAAAAGGTAAACACTAATTAAGTAGTAATTTTTTATAAACCACAAAATCGTGCTTTATAAAAAATCATTATGAAATAATCAGTCATTTTTCTAAGTTGTAACACTCTACTTTCTAAGATATTTAAATGATCTGTTACTTAGAAAATCATTACTTAATATGACACGAAAGTCAAAAATTGATACTATGCTTAGTATATCACAAATGAAAAATTTACCCTAATTGCTCTAACAACCACAAACAACTAGAAATCATTTTTGTTTACAACATAATTCCTGATTTCAGATTGATTGTCCTGTTTTTTAATATGAAACTCATTCAATGGCTGTCGCCCATTCTGTGTTAAAACCAAAATACATGAATCAAAGACATTCAGTTCTCATCCCTGACAAATCCTTGAATATCCAATTGAAATCCAATTCAGGTCGGAATATCCTTGGACATGAAATGGATGTCCATAGCATACCCCTCAGTGAATTTTAAATGGACATCCTTCGATGGATATTCTATGAACATCAATGTACCATGTCTTATAGACGAATGTCCATAAAATATCCTTTGGACATGAATTTGACATTCATTTTTCAGATGTTCATGCATTATCTGGGAATGACCACCCAAAACTGAATTTTGAACAGGTATCAAAACCGTATGCGATAACCCTATTGATGTTTCCAAAACAGAAATGATTTCGTGATGCACAGAATTTGTGTAACAGGCCATAAAAACATAGATATATCACAATTGCAATATTGAAAAAAAAATCAATAAAACAATGAAAATCAAAACGAAATACAATGTTATGTTAATGAACTGCTGGTCCCATAATGAGGAGATGACCAAGAAGTTGACTGTGGAGCAAAGGCACAATTTGTACAAATTTATAATGATTCGATGAAAGTTTGATCCAGGAATATCCGAAATATCATTAACTATTAGTTATAGTTATTATAAGAACTAGAGAATTTCTTATTCAATCCTTCTTTCAAAATTGACTAATACCCATCATCAATCACATCTATGGAAATGTAATTGGTATTGGAGATGTCAACATATTGAAATTTTCATCCAATGAAAAGTGAACTGATTTGATAACAAACACTTTTAACTACTTTTATATTTGTTTTAATGTGTATATTTCAACACACTACTAATATTGTTACTTGTATTAATCGATTTAATGTATGACTTTGTTTTTGTGTGCTTTCTGAACTTGAAAATTTTTCACGGATTGTGAATTTTTTCCAATATTCAACATTCTGTTGGAACTAGTGCTGAACATGTCTCAATGCGAATAGTGAAAATAAAAATTAGTCTGGAAAATACAATTTCAACACCATCTTTAAAAGTTGGCTTCCACAAGAACATTCTTGCTATGTTGCATGCATAAGTAGCCTTTAGCAGACATTATAAAATACACATTATTGATTCACCTTTTATTGAACACGTGTCGTGCTGCCCACACCCAAGCGTCTTCCACACACATACACACATGCAAAATTCATACAACACACATATGCAACATGCATACAATATACACATATGCAGCATTCATACAACACACACATGCAACATCCATACAATACACACACACACATGCAACATTCATAAAATACACACACACACATGCAACATTCACACAATACACACACACATGCAACATTCATACAATACACACACACACACATGCAACATTCATACAATACACATACACATGCAACATTCATACAATACACACACAAATGCAACATTCATACAATACACACACACGGAACACACACACACATACACTAATTTACAGCCATTTGCTTACAGATGATAAATATACAAAGACAAAACATACCCGATAAAACTTTCAAATGACAAACCAGTGTCATTGATAAAATAAATGTTGATCAAACTACCATCGAAAGATTAGTTTGCCATCAGTCCATCTCTACTTCCGAATACTGTTCTCGGCAAAATTACTTGTCAGTAATTTTTTATGAAACAATGTTACAAACATTAAAAACAAAGATAACGAACAAAAGAAACTGTCTGATTTGGTTCTTGCAGTGAGTTATTAATCAACCCCGCACAGAAAACCAAAAGTCAAACAATAAAATCTAAATGGTGTCAAGTTTAAATTTTCAAGAAAAATTTAACCCCGGAGTAGCTGCCTTCGGGTTGATCTCGGAAATTTGAACTCAAAACAGTCAGAGCATGACATCTTCGATGATATTGAAAATATCATACTCTCACGACTAGCAAAAAATGTTTTCAACACAAAACAAACGAAATCAAAATAGACGACAGAAATAAACATCTTCTGAATCGGCAGTCTTGTTATAGTAAAATCAAACACTTAAATATTTAAATCTAAAGAGATACAAGGGCAGGAATATTACATCTATGTACAAGTTATCACCAATCAAACACAGCTTTGCTTTTTCGTTAGAAATAGGAGTTGCCATGCCAGATAGATTCATTAACAATTGCTGCAATAGAAACTAACTAACCGGAACCCTTAACGAACACTTAGTTGACATTCGACTAATGTTGTAAAATATACGTCCTTCTCCTCTTATTGCTCACTGACCTCTCCTGATCTAAGAGATCCTTCTGGGCAAGAGCCATCTGTTGCCTGAGAAAGTCTTGCTCAACCTCCATCTCATCGAATCCACAATCGGAAGCCTGATGACAAAAAGGCAGAAATTAAAATAAACTCCCTTCGAAACAATGCATAATGACTCAATTACTAAGTATGAAATTTCAATAAAATGAATTATTGCAGTTCAAGAAAATATGAACACAGTTTTTTCACTAAAAATTCATTCAAGTTACGACTCTCATTCACAGATGCATCTGACTTACCTCAACGTCGAGGTCTGAACCATCGTCGTTATTCACTTGAATATATTCATATTGCATATTCAAATTATTCTCCTGTTCCTGATCTTGGTCGGAATCGGAAGCTTCGCTCTGTTCTTCAGCACTTCCACAAGAATCTCCGAAATGATCCGTTTCGTCGTAGGAAGAAGCAAACTTCATCTCGCCCCTTTCTAGAAGCTCCAGATGTTCTAGAAAATATTAGAATTGTGTCAGCTTTGTAGCTTCGTCAAGTATCTGGTATGAATTGTATATTGAGACACACCCTGTAGGAAGAAATATTAAAAAAGCTCTTAGAAAATAAACTCAGCTGTTTACTAAATTAAAACCCTGAGCAATATAAAATGATGATTCAAAAACATCAAAGGCGTCATATCAGGTGATCTACCATTTTGAATAATTTACAAATCCAAATGAGTTGCAACCGATGTTACATTTTAGTAAGTGAACTACCTTTCCGAAAAGCTGGGTTAAAAATGTCTAGATGACAGAGCTTTCAACTAACTGTATACAGGGTGTAACTGAATAAGTGTAAAACATTCAAGGTGATTCCTCATCGAAAAAAAGATAGGATCTTTCATATGAAGAAATTTCATTGGAGCATCCCTTGTTAAGATACAGCCCCTTAAAGGGGTACATAAAATTTGTATAACAATTTTTTTCACAAACACTAAAAAAGTTACAATATTGAAATTAACCTGACGTTTTGTACTACCAAAAAGACACTTAGCGAGAAATTTATTTGGTTTACCCCATGGTTGTAAAGGGTGGAAAACGTAACCCCTAAAATTTATTTCCAATGTAATTTTTTGTCTTATTATTTGTTTACAATTCATTTCCGATAGCTTGTTTCATTCTAAACAAAAAATGCCTCTTGAGTTTTTTGCCCAAAATAAATCAGTTCGCTGTAAAAAATTATTTTACAAACTACAAAGATACATCGTCATAAATGCGAACTGGGTTTATTGTTATTTTGTAGTTAGTACCTGCATTAAACGATTGAAGGGTAATAAACAAAACTAATTTATTAATAACAAAACACACATGTGGAAATCATAGTAGATGTTCAATATGTCTACCTTCTGACATTACGCATGCGTCTAGACGTCGGCGCATTGAGCCACGTATTCGCTCAAATATTCCTGGAGTCTCTCTGATTACTCTGCACGCATCGATGATGCGGTTTCTCAAGTCCTCTACATCGCGAACCGGAGTACGATAAACCAAATGCTGTAAATGGCCCCAAATAGAGAAATCGAGAGGATTGAGATCCGGGGATCGAGAGAAACAGTTCTGTGGTCCTCCTCGACCTATCCACTGATTTGCATATGTTTCAGTTAAATGCTGACGTGCTACTTGACTAAAATGGGCGGGAGCCCCATCATGCATAAAAAACATATCCTTTCTGACGCCCAAAGGAACTTCCTCCAGAAGTACTGGATGCACTTCTCTTAATAATTGAACGTATGCCTCACCATTTAATCGAGGAAGTAGAAAATGAGGCCCAATTAAATCATCCCCAATAACTCCGAGCCACACGTTAAAAGAAAACTGTTCTTGATGGTTAGTTTCCACAATAGCGTGAGGGTTTTCATCAGCCCATATGTGGTAATTATGAAAATTAATAATCTTTTCCCAAAAAAAACTATATTTCTCTGTGAGTTCTATCGTCTTCAGAAAGTCACAATTTCTTCTAATCATTTCCAGCATCCAATTGCAAAATTCAAGACGGTTCGGAAAGTCTCGCGGTAACAGTGCCTGTACCCGTTGCAGATGGTAAGGGTATAAGAGTTGCTCCTTTAAACTTCGAAATACCGTCATATGATCAACATTCAGCTGGAAAGCAATCTTTCTAGTACTGTTAGTAGGTTGTTCTCCAATCAAATTAAGTACTGCTTCCTCAAGCTGTGGTGTCCGTACTTCCCGATGGCGACCACAATCCTGCGTTCTTTTGTCGAATGAATCATATTCTCGTATTCGTTGATGAAGTCGACTAAATATTCTATGTGAAGGATGCTGCCGTTGCGGATATATTTCAGCATATCTTCTAGAAGCTTCTAACCCATTCCCCTGCGACAGACCGTAAATGTAATGCATATCAGCCATTTCCTCATTTGTGTATGCTATTTTAATAACCAGTGAATTATTAAAGTAACAAATTAAGAACAGAACAACAACACACAATTAGTATTATTTCAGGTTCGAAAATTCATAAACTGACAGCGTCATACCAATTTAATTGTCACTATCGCTAATAGCGACCTACTAGATAGATTAGTTTCGTATTTTCGCATTTATGACAATGTATCTCTGTAGTTGTTCGTAAAATAATTTTTTGCTGCGAACTGGTTTATTTTGGGTAAAAAACCCAAGAGACATTATTTGTTTAGAATGAAACGGCTATCGGAAATAAATTTTTAAATGGTGAACAAATAAACGTCAAGTCAATTTCAATATTTTAATTTTTTTAGTGCTTGTGAAAAACATTTATTGTACCCCCTTTAAGGGGCTGTATCTTAACAAGGGATGTTCCAATGCAATTTCTTCATATGAAAGATCCTATCTCTTTTTCGATGAGGAATCACCTCCTTAAATGTTTTACACTCATTTAGTTACACCCTGTATATGAATCATTAAAAAAGATACTGAAAAGAAATGGACCCAGAGCTGTTCCTTGAGAAACTCCATATTCAACTTCTTCAGCATCATTAATCATTCATTTCCATTCAAATATCGATGACGATAAATCGTTTCAGAAAAATTGTGCCTAATATGTGAATACTCACCAGGATTGACCATGGCCCTCTTGATGGCATGGGGATCCTTCCTCGACCACTTCTGCACCTCCTCGTCCATCTTGATGATCTTCGCCGGATTCATGGCCCACAAGCAGCCCTTCCTCTGCGCCCCGTTCAGCGCCGGCTTCTCGATCTTCTCGAAGCACTTATTCAAAGACAGATTGTGCCTAACGGAATTCTTCCAGCCGCTTGGCGCCGTCTTGAAATAAGGAAAATGCTTGCACATAAAGTTGTAGATCTCGGAAACAGGCAAGCTGCCAGACCTGCTGTTCTTCAAGGCCATTGCAATGAGGCAGCTGTAGCTGTAAGCCGGCTTGGGAAAAATCCTATCAGAATCATCGTAGATGACTCGAGGGTGAACCTTGCGGTTCACCGGTGTTGTGGAGACGGTGCGAAGAGTCGTGAGATTGGTCACCTGAGAGGCGCTGATTGGCGCCGGGGCGACTGGCCTAGGAACGGCGTTCCTAAAGGTAAGAATGGTCGGCGGCTTCGGTAGCGTCTTGACGGGTTTCGCTAGGATCGGGGTCACTTTCGTGATGGATTTGATCAGAGGTTTCTTCCCTTGGGCCTCCTCCAGCCTCATCCTCAGGTCTTTCTTAATGGCCGTCGCTTCGGGCTTAATGGCGGCTATTTTGATGGTGGCCGGAGAAAAAGTCAAGTGGCTCTCCTTTAAGGATGGAGAAGGAGATCTCACGCTTTGGGCCACAGACATTAGCGGCATGACGGCATTAGGGTTGACCATCGTCGGACCGTCTTCGCCGCTGAAGTCCAAATTCGAATGGTTCGAGTTGGAGTTGAACCATGTGATGTCATGGACATCTTCGAATTCGAAGGAAGGCAGTTCGTTGAAATTGAACCCGGAAAAGTCGTTCGGACCACCGACCAGGGTGTCCGTTTCTTTTTTCAAGTCAATGTCAACGTCAAGGAAATCAGTGAATGACAGCGAGTCATTGGCATTGAGGAAAATGTCCATTGATGCCGTCGACATGATGCGGTTCTCCTGAAAAAAAAAAACAATAAGGTGATTTTCAATATTCCTAGTGCAATTTTTGTTTGAATGTTTCAGACAAGGATTCTTGAATAGTGGAGAAGTGAATAAGGTTCGGGATTATACGACCGATATGTCCGCATTATATGGTAAAAGTCAGTCAAAATCTTACGGAAAAATCAAATCAAAGATATCTTATGACGATGATAAGAAATTGAATAGGGGAGCCCAAGCGGGGATTTCGGGATTTACTAAAGCGCGGCAGATTAATATACAGGGGGGATACTTTGTACCCGGTTGAGTACCTCCACCAAATATGAGCCCCATATAATATATTTTTGCACATTATAATAATGGCCGCGAGTTTGCGTCAGATCGAAATCGTCAGATTATTGAATGAGAGCTTTTTTTTTGTTGCACATAACACCCCCTTAGAAAATCTGACGCGCACGATTATATTTTTTTTCTTTTCAGTTTTAACCCTTACGTACAACCACCCACATCATGCACACGATCAGATTAACATACCAACATTATTAAAAATACGTAGAACATTGATGCTATCAATATCTGACGCGCTCGAGTATGACCATGCAACAGTATTTTTTTACATATTCAAAAATCTATAGCCGCTTCCCCCACCGATGAAAAGGTATATATCATATAACATTTTTTTCTTCTTATCATCTAAGCTTTGCAACCTATAATGTGAGATTTTCACTAAACAGTTTCATCAAAACGCAGCACGTGTTTCGCTTTAAAACAACTTTTTCGGGCGTGTCAGACGCCTTAAAATAGCTTCTTCGGGCGTGTCATACGCTATATTATAGCGTTTTCGGGCGTATCAGACGCTATTGTATAGCGAAACAGATGTTGCGTTTTTGTAGAACTGTTGGGTGAAAATATCACAATGAAGTTTTTTTTGAATACGTTATGGATTTTCATCAAGTATCGTCCGATTCCATCACACACTCAAGATGGTGTTTGTGGATTTTTTAATCCAACGTTTCGCCTACGAGAAACCATTATTTTTTTAATATGAAACGAAAAAAGAATCACTCGCTAAAGTTAGCATTACCGATGTATCCAATAATCGTTTGATTGGCATATTTCAAAAGAACCATAATAAGTCCGTGGGTTGAACTACCTATTGGGCGCGGCCTCAGGTGGCGGATAGGGAAACGGCCAGGGGACTGGAGGCCCTGCCCGGGAAGCCAATGTGGCCTTATGGACGGGGTCGCCCGACTCCTGGTCAGTGGCAGAAATAAGTGGGGTGTGGGGAACTAAAACTCCCCCAAAGCCTTTGCAAAACATGCCACCGTGGACCAGCCTACCCAAGCTAAGGTGTAAGGAATGGTGCCGACAGCTGAATGGCCGCAGGGTGATATGCGGTTACGAACGATCCCTTTGGGGAATTGGGCGAAACCTCAATGTAATCAGCCTACCCCTGGTAATGCGGGAATCTGCCAGAGGTGACCAACTCTTCCCTTGCTACTCGTGGGAACACACATGAGTGAAACAAAAACAGAAACAACAAAAACAAAAATCAATTCCGAAGCTGGACAGAAATGCTCACCTCAATCTAAGGCGGTTGCTGGGGATGAACAGAAATGTCCACCCTAATCTACCGCTTCGAATGAGGCTGGACATAGCAGACGTAATACAAGTGCCAAGGCGTAAGCGCATTTGCGGCGCCGAAGCCAAAAGGATTAAGAGAGAGAGGAGGCAGCAGTGGCAACAACTATAAGTGCACCCTCCTCCTCCCCCACTCCACCTCCAACAGCAAGGGCACTTCCTGCTGGCCCAAGAGCTCCGCCTCCAATAAAGGCAAGCAACCGGCTGCCCCTGAAGTTGAGCAACCTAGCTTGTGCACCTCCACGGAGGGAACCCCAAGAAGGTTGAAGAAGCCGCGCAACGATAGTAATGGCGCTGCACCTTCCAAAACCTTGGCGGAGGCCACCGTGAGACCCCTCAATGTTGCCAAAGAGAGTGTTTGTTTAGCCAGTCTTGGCCTAGACCTGCCAATATAAAGCAGATGTATCCTAGTGACCTGTCCACCTTCCTGGAAAGAACATGATGGACGATCACCTAGGAGGAGAAATCCTCGGGAGGATGTACAATGGGTCACATATGGCCTAAGTGCTGTGAGTCTACACTCACCCTCTCTACTCTACAGATACAGAGATACAGAAACTCTAAAATGATATACTTTTTTCTAACTTGACCGACGTGATAGATTAGATTGTCGGGGAGCTAGCCCATGACCTGATTCACTACGACTTTTTCAGATCTATTATGATGCTCCTTGGTTGTTAGAGCTCATTGTCTAGCTTGATCTCTTTGATGAGACTCCGTAGCCTTGACATCGCTTCGCATTCACAGGGCACATGCAGTGCGATTTCTTACTCTTCTTGACAGATCCTGCATTGGGTTCCTTCTGTCAGACCCATGTTGCTCATATGTTTCCTGAGTCGGCTATGCCCCGTTAGTAGACCCACCACTTCCCTTACAACCTTACGGTTGTGGTTTAACAGCTCTTCCGTGATTATGGGCTATGGTTTCTTCATGAACTCTTTCGCCTGCCTCATTCCTGGGAGCTTATTCCACCAAACTATCGATTCGACTTGCATCCAGGAATTTATGGATGTCTTTATACATGTTTTCGCTACCCTGCAGAAGGGTTCTGGTCCGATAATAGCATTGAATGCGCCTTCACGGGTACCCAAGTTAGAGTGACCCTAGTTTGGGTACTTAGCTCCTTGAGTGCGCTCAGACAGCTTCCCACCAATCTTGACAAGATTTGAAATTAGCTGAGCGCCTTAATTGCCGCCTGGCTATCGGAGAAAATGGCAATGGATTCATTTGTGACCTTCTGCCTGTTTATTTCCCCTATACAGTGTTCGATGGCAACTACTTCTGCCTGGAACACAGTTGCATTATATCCGAGGCTGAGTGCGATGCTCTGCCTCCATATATACCGGCTCCCACTCCTTCTTGGGTCTTTGAGCCATCTGTGACCGAATTGGTAACTCAAGGTTTTCGAATTTTCCATGCTGGTGATGGTCATATTATATACAATATGTCTTTATGTTGAACACTTGTTATTTGTAGTAAACGAGAAAACAATTTGCCATTCATAATCCTCATGACTGAATCCGTTAATTTTGTTTATTTAGGACAGAACAGGCAGGACATAATGTAATGTACAATAAGAAATGTTTCGACAAATATTCTGAATAGTTGAAAATTTTCACCTCTTATAATTTGAAGTTTATCATTTTATTCCAACTATACCCACACAATCTCATATCAACTTTCTGAGCCCAGCGGTATTCCAACTAATAAGTAAATAATGCAAAATTGTCCATTATTGTATACTTACATAATACAAATTATAATATTTTCACATATTCAATCATTTATAATTTTATGACAATTTGGCGCAGTGTACTCAACCCATCTGTCCAAAGAGGATCGGCATGGAAAACTCGGAAACCTTGAAAGATACAAAGTCGGTTTCACATCTTAGAGCTCATTGAAATAGCGTTTAAATCAGCAAAAAGAATCACCTATTTGGCGATATATTCAGTGACGTATCATACACAATCGGGATTTTCTAAATTTCAAAATGCCATTCAAATAAGCTCTAAAATGAGTAACTTGTCTTTTAAGGTAATCACTTTTCCGATCCTTATTTTGGACACAGTGTGTATAATTCGAAAACTTCGGTCTTATAATTTGCTTATTTTACTCATTTCCCTATTGCCAATATATTGATACTTTCGGACATCGAAAATCAAAAACTTCTTCATTTTCTGGAAAATATTGTTCAACTATGCCGATGTTACGACATCTATTGGTAAATAGAGATCCGTGGCACCTTTAACATATTGTTTACTCACCTTATCACTTCATATTTACCGTTTTCGAAATAACTACGAAATATGGACATCTAAATAACAAATAAACTTCGACAAACCTTGCTGGAATGTATTCATCAGTATTTTGAATCAGAGACGTGGTGTTCGGTAATTATATGGCCAAAATCAAACTAAAAATTTGATAAATGAACACCTAACAATTATATTTTTTTCAGTAAAATGAGATTGTCACAAAAATATGCTTTCATTTTAGTCCAGTCATTATAGTAAGTTCACCTCGGAACTCGAGATGCCCAGCTGTAAGTCTGTAAATACTTGTATATTGACACCCTGAAAGTTGTCTGAAAACCTATATATGGTAGGGTGTACGCAACTATTAAATTTCAAGGTCAAAGGTCACAAAAATCGGTTTTTTGCGCTTTTTTTGTAAATATCTCATTTCCTATGTTTTTTTTACCATTTGTATTCATTATCTATATTGTAGAATACAAAATTCTCTACAAATTTTGTTCAAAAAAATGTTTCATACGGTGAATCGTTTTCGAGATAGAGGGCGGAGAGCGCGCGGTCACAGGATCACTTCAGGTCAACCGGTGCCTCCGGTCGAAAACGCGCCATATATAGTTGATGAACTATCGATAAATCAATGATTATAAATATTTGTCAATTTTTATAAACTATTATATTATATTTTATCATTTTTTTCCTAACCTATCCAAATATAATTCATGTATTTATCAAAAATAATAGAAAAAGTATCTTCTCTGCTCCATACAACATGATGAAGAAGAAATCCGCCATCAATAATTTACGTCACATTATTTTCATTGAGAACAAAATCAATTGGGCTCATATTGTCATACAATGACGATTTTGTTGTTTTTCTCATGCCATCATTATCAAATAGAGCTGTTCGATACGGACTCGATTCATATTGAAGGTTGACCTAGACCGCGCGCTCTCCGCCCTCTATCTCAAAAACGGTTCACCGTATGAAAAAATTTTTTAAACAAAATTTGTAGAGAATTTTGTATTCGACAATATTGATAATAAATACAAATGACAAAAAACCCATAGAAAATGAGATATTTACAAAAAAAGCGCAAAAAACCGATTTTTGTGACCTTTTGC